TTTTTCCTCATCTTCTAGCTGGGCCACCTGGGTTACCCAAGACAATTGCTGCAGGCAGTATAGATGGTCTACCTCCAAATATGAGATTCCATGAGCAGAAGAGGCTTCATTATGGATGGTCAGTGATTGCAGGGTGAGGAAATGGTCAGAGTGGAGTGGGGCTGGTGGATCCAGGAACAGGTGGGATTTGGTAAATTGGTGGTCTCATCCTTGACACCTGCTCTAGGCTTATGGAGATGGCCCTCAAATATGTTTATACCCTCCCAAGCCCTTGGAAACACCTGGAAGATTTTGATCAGAACTTCTGGGGACAAAAGACTACCCTGGCTGGTCAGTTATTTGCCCAGGTCCCAATAACACCTTGATGACCCTACTAATGTGGTATGTGTCACACTGTATAGTCTCCAAAACTTCTTGCCAAAATAGAATTTAAGAAACAACAAGAAAACCCACTGCATGGGAGAACATATTTGCCAACATTATCACGAGTAAGGGTTTAATCTCTAACATTTACAGAGTACTCATACAACTTAACAAAAGAAAGATAAACAACCCAATCAAAAAATGGGCAACTGACATACTTTTCGAAAGAGAACGTAAGGAAGGCCAAGAGACATATAAAAACATGCTCAATGTCACTAATCATCCGAGATGCAAATCAAAACGACAATGAGGTACCATCTCACACCTGTCAGAATGGCTATCATCAACAAATCAACAAATGACAAGTGCTAGCAAGGATGCGGAGAAAAAGGAACCCTCGTGCACTGCTGGTGGGAATGCAGACTGGTGCAGCCACTGTGGAGAACAGTATGGAGTTTCCTCAAAAAACTAAAAATGGAACTCCCATTTGACCCAGTGATCCCACTTCTAGGAATATATCCCAAGAAACTAGAAACACCAATCAGAAAGGATATATGCACCCCTATGTTCATAGCAGCAAAATTTACCATAGCTAATATAAGTGCCCATCAGCAAATGAGTGGATGAAAAAACTGTGGTATATCTACACAATGGAATATTATGCTGCAGGGAAAAAGATGGAATGCTTACCATTTGCAACAGCATGATAGAACTGGGAGAGCATTATGCTTAGTGAAATAAGCCAGTCAGAGGAAGATAAATATCACATGATGTCACTCATTTGTGGAATATAATGAATATCATAAACAGATGAACAAAAATAGATCCAGAGATAGAGAAGCATCGATCAGACCATCAAACTTCAAAGGAAAGGTAGGGGAGGGCGGGGGTAAGGAGGAGAGATCAACCAAAGGACTTGTATGCATGCATATAAGCCTAACCAATGGACACAGACACCAGGAAGGTGAGGGCATGAGTGGGGGTCGGGGGGACAACAGAGGGGATAAGGACACATTTGTAATACCTTAATCAATAAAGAATTTAAAAAATAAAATAAAGAAAAAAAATTTTAAACTGGGGATCTCACAAAGGCCTCATGAATGAAAATATATGGGCTGGGTATGGAGGAGTCATGTGACTTAATCCCTGTAGTAGAGTATGAAGGAGAGGAACATCAGGTTGTGGTGAATATCCTCCTCCTAACCTCCACTCCAATCCCACAGAGAAGGTTCACCAGTGCTGGCAAAATGACCAGCTTTTGGCTACCAGTTCCTCAATGACACCAACCCCATGCTGTTAAGACACTCCACCTCTCTGCCCTCTAGGCTGATGCTGCCCTCAGGGATGGAGGAGCTTCAGACCCAATTGGAGAAAGAACTCCAGGTACAGCCTCCAGTCCTTGATTGTCTTCTCCTTGTCTGTGAGAGGAGTAGAAGTGGTGAAGGGGAGAGACCAAAGTTGAGTCTGGAAAGGGAGGCTGTGGTAACCCACTGTCCCTGGGTGTAGAGTCCTCTGCTGGAAAAAATTAAAGGTGATGATGTAGGGAAAAGCATCGAAGCTGGATTCTGCCAATAAAGCTGACCATTAGGAGATGGTGGGGAAAGGAGCTTGGGCAGCCTGACAAGTGGAGAGCTTGGCATAAATGTGCTACAGAATCAACTGGCATACTTAGTCCTAAAACTTCCTGACACAGACAAGCTGCATGTCTCCAGGGAAGACTCCTTTCATGGGGTCTTAGTCCTCCCTGTAAAATAAGAGAACTTGAACTTGATGCTCAGTGCTTCCTTCAGTTCTGCCACTGGGACTCAGGTATTGACATGGGCTAATGGCAAGAAAAGAGAGTGACTGTCTTTACATTTCTTCCCCTTTGCCTTGGCCATGGGGAAGAATGTTTTCAACTCTAACCACGGGTACATTACACTTTCCTTAGAAAGGTTCCATTTTTCAGGCTGATTCCATTCTACTGGATGGAATTCCAGCCAACGTGATCCAAGGAGAGCAGCAGTACCTGGCTGCCCCCCTTGTCAGGCTGAAGATGGAACCCAGTGGGAAGCTGCTACCCATGGTCATGCAGGTGAGGTGCCCTGGGTATCCCATTCCCAACACTGCTCTGTGTTGATCCCCAACGTCTGCCAAGGGACAAAGACAGCTGGCTCTTGTCACCCACCCCTGCCTCATTCAGTGACACCTGTCCTTGTATCCAATATCTCCTTTCTACCTTACAGCCTACTCACTACTCACCTGGAATTGCCCTTTTGAGTCAGAATGCTCTCTGTTGGTTCTCACCATAAGGCTACTTAATCTCTTTTTGACCTATGATTCTGTGGAATATTCTTTTCTTAGACATATTTTCTCCTTTGGTTTTAATGTGTTTTCACTCTTACTGTTCTCATCAATCAGTTGGTAAAAACTGTCATTTATCTCACATGTCCAGCTTTTCCTTCCTATTCTACCATCCTCACTCACACCCTCATCAAGTTTCTCTGTCATACTAGATCAGTGATGGCGAACCTATGACACACGTGTCAGAGGTGACACGTGAACTCATTTTTTGGTTGATTTTTGTTAAATGGCATTTAAATATATTAAATATGAAAAATTTAAGTCTGTTTTACTATGGTTGCAAATATCAAAAAATTTCTATATGTGACACGGCACCAGCGTTAAGTTAGGGTTTTTCAAAATGCTGACACGCCGAGCTCAAAAGGTTCGCCATCACTGTACTAGACACTTCTAATTCCTCCTGCTTTTAACCTGACCATCATGGCACTGACACTTCCCCACAGCACTTGAGGATGAGTGGAAGGGCCTTCATTCCTCCTACTATATTATAATCCCTGGGAGACAATAATCTTAGTCACCAGTGTTTCCCCCAGAATAATAAGCATAATTTCTAACAGGATGAAGCCAGTGAATGCTTAGCTCCTCTTTGTTTCAGATCCAGCCTCCCAGCCCCAGCTGCCCCACCCCACCACTGTTCCTGCCCTCAGATCCTCCACTTGCCTGGCTCCTGGCAATGTCCTGGGTCCGAAGTTCAGATTTCCATGTTCATGAGCTCTAATATCACTTGCTGAACACTCATCTGCAGGGTCAGGTCATTGCTGTGGCCACCATGAGGTGCCTTTCAGGACTGCACCCTGTCTTCAAGGTACATCCTCTACCCTCCATGTCCCATCTCCCTCACATCCCAGAGGAAGAAAGCAATGCAACAATTCTCTAGGATTTAAAAAGCATAAGCCACCTGTTTGGGAAGAAGTTAACAAAGCTTCTTCTAATTAAATGAGTGTCCATGTTATTGTAATAAAAAAATCTTTATAGCAATTTGTAAACGGACAAGGGGAAATTATTGTGTCAAGACCTTGCAACTTGTGGCTGTATTTCTAATGTTTAAATTATTTTATTTTGAGATAATCATAGGTCTTCATGCAGTTTGAAGAAATAATACAGAGAGGTGCCATCTATTTTATTAAGTCAAGTTACTTAGCAAATATTCAGCACTTATTCTAAGGCACCTCTGATATTCTCCAGCAGAGTCTGCTGTAGAGCAAGAATATAATTTGATAAAAGTATTGCTCTGCTTTCAAAGAGCGAGCATTTAACTTGCAAGACAAATGGTAGAAATGAAAAATAACCAGAGAACAGAATCTGGATATAGAGTTAGAAATCAAAAGCGAAAGCAATAATGTTCCACCACAACTTAGAATTCTTTAAGTAGAAGGTCAAAGGGACAAAAGACCAGCCCAAGAGGTTATTTAACCTGCTTAATGAGAGGTGCATGACATGGTAGTTAGATCAATGGAAAGGAAAATGCAAAGACTTTGTGATGAGTGGAAATAGTTGCAGCATGTCTGGGTGCAAGATTGGAGAGAAAGCTCAGAGGTCTGAGCTGCTGCAACAACTAGACCACCCAGTAGTACAGTTGTAGTGATCCAGAAATATTGTAATTTTATACAGTAGTGAGCCTAGAATCTATTGCTAACCATAAGGCAGCAAAAATAGCCTTTGTTAGCCTAAAAAACATTTCTGAAATCTTGATGACACTAGCAGCAGGAGCAAAAATGGTACAAGCTTATGAAGCAGAACAATTGTCAGAAACAATACATTTAGCAGAAGCCCATTATGAAGTCAAAGATGTTATGTTCAGTTTTAGGTACATGGAGTTTGTAGGGGTAGCAAGATATGTGAGTACATGCTATGTAGACCAAGTATGTCAAATTCAAAGGCTAACATGGGCCAAATAAACAAGGTTTAAGTTTATGTGGGGTGCAAAAAAAAAAAAAGAAAGAAAAACAAAAGTTTCATAATTGTAAATAACTGCTCACACAGGTAAGTACTTCCAAACATAGAAATAATTTCATATGCGAATTTTCGAGTATTTTCAAACCTGGCAGGTAAATATTTGTAAAATTCAGGCACACCAACACACTGGATCTCAATCAATTCCAATTGCATTTGATTAGGTATTGATTCTATATTTATTGAAAAAATCGAACAAAGGAAACCTGTCTTCCAAAAATTTAAAATCTGCAAACCTTGTTTCAAATTCAGTTCTAAGGCTTAAAATTTTTTGATACGATGCAGTTTCACTTAAACTTGATTTGTTCATGTTGCATGTCGGAAAGTACATTAAATCTTCATTTTTCAACTGCTTTTCCCAAAGAACTAGCTTACATTTAAATGCTTTGACTTGGTCACACATGTTTGTAATAATCTGATCTCTTCCTTGCAATTTTAAGTTTAAATCATATAAATGTTTTGTTATATCAACCATGAAGGATAAATCCTGCAACCATATTGTGTCAAAAAATAGGCTTGTGTCTTGATTTTTAGACATTAAGAACTGACATATTTCTTCTTTCAAGTCCCAGAATTGTTTCAGAACCTTGGAGCAGGATAGCCAACGTACCTCGATATAGTAAGTAGCACAAGCCGGAATATTTGCTAATTCACTTAAGAAAGCAGAGAACTGTTGCTGATTAAAGCTTTGAGATCTTATGAAATTGATAATTTTTTTTGATAGATGTCAACACATTTTCCATGTTTATTACCTTTGCGCATAATACTTCTTGATGTATAATGCAATGTATATGATGAATCATGGATCCGTCATAAATTTCACTTTGTTTTTTTTGCAGTAATTCCACGAAACCATTGTTTCCGGTCATCAAAGGAGCTCCATCTGTAGCTACAGAAGTTAATTTTGAGAGAGGTAGATTGTATTTTTGCAGAAGTTTAAAAACACAATTAAATATATCTTGTCCTGTACTAGTGTTATGCATCGGTACTAGTTCCAACAATTCCTCAAAAATATTGAAATCCGTGTCGCAAGCACGAAGAAACACAGCTAACTGAGCTACGCCTCCAATGTCCGTACTCTCGTCACAGGCAATGGAGAAAGCTTCGAAACTAGGTGATTTTGCTTTGATCTGAATACTTAAATTGTCGGCCAAATCAGTAACTCTTTCTGCAACTGTATTTCGAGACAAAGAGATTCTCTGAAAAGACTTCCCATTTCCAGGACAAATAATTTCTGCAGCTTTAATGAGACATTCCTTGATGAAACCACCTTCAGTAAAAGGTTTCGAGGGTTTAGCTATCAACTCCGACAAGAAGTAGCTTGCATGCCCCGCTGCTTCACTTTCATGTGATACTTTAGTCACCATGAACTGCTGTTTATTCAGCCCCAACTTGAGCTCTTTCAACTTTTCTTGTCTCATTAATCCCTCGTAATTATCATATTTTGACTTACGTTGTTCATAGTGACGATGAATGTTGTGTAACTTTGGTACGCTAATAGCATTATTACATATCAAGCAGATTATTTTATTTTTTACTTCACAGCAAAAATACTCCAATTCCCACGTTTCTAAGAAATTTTGATGTTCGTCAGCAATTTTTCATTTATTTTTACTACCACTTGATTTCAATAGAGACATGCTGAATACAAAGGGCTGAAATAAATGAGTAATCGTTAACATAACATAATAGAACATTTTAATAAAAATCGAAAGCAACCTAAATATTCTTCAATAGGTGAATGGATAAAATGTGGCACGTCCATATAATGAAATATTATTTTTTTTATTCTTTTAAAAATTGTTTTAAGTATGCGCCTATGCATAAGGTGCGTAAGGGAAATGAATGCAACACGATTCTAGTAATCAGTCATTAGCGAACATTTTAGTTCGTTATTAATAATTATAACAGGATATTGTAAAAATTAAGTTACGAACTTTTTATTAAAACGTTCCTTACATACCGTTGTTTTGGCTGGGCCGCAAAAATATTCGTTGTGGGCCGCATGCGGCCCATGGGCCGCGAGTTTGACATGCTTGCGGTACCTAGTCAAACACATCAGGGAAATAGTTCTGAAAATTCTCAATGCACTGAAGCACTTTAAAGGTTCATAGTTCCAACACTTTAACTTGGCTCATTTAACCCAAAATGACAACCACTGACCATTTACCCTTTATTTAAAGCTATTACTCAATTCCACAGGACGATTTTAGAAAAAAATTTTCTTAAAACCCCCCATACAACTTCATCAAGCTTCTGAATCCATACTTACTCTTTATCATCCTCATCCTCATCATCGTCCTCATCATCTTCATCAGCAGCAAGTTTTACTTTTTTCTTTAAAGAGAAAAACAACAAAAAACCTCATGAGCAAGTGTCCAAACTAAAAACCAGAATAAGATACCTGTAGTAAATTACATCTATACCTGCGGAACCTTGCTACCACCTCCAGGGGCAGAACACTTTCCAGACATGAGTTTCACATCCTCCTCCTCGTCATCTTCTGACTGCATCTTCCTCCACAGCTAAAATAAATTTCTTTATTAGCTACTACTAAAACTCAACCCAGAAGCAAGAACTCAGAAAAAAAAGGGCATTAATACATAGTAATGAGTATTTAAAAACAGATTCTACTGCTTAAAAGAGGCAAAAAGCTAACAAAATTTTTTACAAAAAGGAACTGTGGGGCCTAACACTCATTACTAGGTTTTATATGCAAAATAACAGGTGTTTCCAGTTATAAATTAGTAATATATGTAACTACTAGATTCCCATTTGAACCTACTATAAAGACAGCAGTCCAGCTGGGACAAAGTAGCTGCATAAAAGATAATGAAAATAACATACCTACTAAGTGCTGTCCACTTTGCATCCTTTGCACCGGCCCCTAACCTGACCTATGAACAGAAAAACAGCACTTCAACTTAAGTTTCTGTATTATACAATCCCCCCAAAAGTTCTTATATTAAAAAAAGTTACTTATAAACTTTTCACTATTACCACTGATGGAAAACTAATTTGTGCACAATGTTGTCTTCAACTTTTATGGGACTTTGACAATCAATTTCTCATATTCAATAAATTTGAACAAATGCATAAGATGACGTATAGGGTGCCCCCCAAAATTGCATACACACTTTAACAGCCGATAGCTCAATTTTGAAAATGAAATGCATTTTAATAAACACCACCTTTATAATTATCCAAAGTGTGTGCATACATTTTGGGGAGACACCCTATAGTTGTACATGTCATCACCTATCCACAGTATGATTACCTAACATTTATTGACCACCTACAAGTTAAGCAGCAAGCTATGGGCTAGTCTCTGCAGGGGACAAAGATTTACCACTACCCTAAAGGACTTTATAAGGCAAATTAAGTATATAAATATGAAAAGTTGAACAGTAGTATAACTGGACTTTTTATATGATTACCAAAGGAGTGATAAAAATGCCAAGTTTTGTATCACAGGTATACAGAAAATCAGTATATACAATACTCAGTTATAAAAATACTATCATGCCGAAACCGGTTTGGCTCAGTGGATAGAGCGTCAGCCTGCGGACTGAGAGGTCCCAGGTTCGATTCCAGTCAAGGGCATGTACCTGGGTTGCCGGCACATCCCCCGTAGGAGATGTGCAGGAGGCAGCTGATCGATGTTTCTCTCTATCTCTCTCCCTTCCTCTCTGTAAAAAATCAATAAAATATATTTAAAAAAATAAATAAATAAATAAATAAATAAAAATACTATCATAAAAATTAAATATTAAGCCACATGAATAGGAACTAAGGCTGAAATCAAGAAAGGTTTCGTAGTTTATTTTGAAAAGTTTAAATATCGTTTGTAAAGATAATTGGTGCTCATTTTCATCACTATCCACCTTAAAGTGATAATCTTTGTCGGCCTTTAGTTCACAACCTGTAAGTGAAGAAAAAAAGCAACTCTAACATGGAGAAAAAAATAATACTGAAACTTCATATGGGTAACCAAAAAGGAAACAATTAACTTGTGATTTTTCACTATCTTACCAGAAGGCCTCTCTTCCCAGATTTCTTGAACACAAATGCCTACAATCAAATAACATCCATACAGGCATTAACTATCCCTAGGATATGTCTATTCCTGCCTTAAACATAATTTCTGACATAATTTAATGTACACCATTTCTGTTACTTCAACAATATGTTGACATATCCTAGGGAATATTTCCAATGAAAAGGGTCAACAAAAAATATCTTGATATAAATTGATCAGAAACCCAGCTATTCAAAATGGCTAGAAATAAAAGCACTATTTGTACAGTGCATATTAGCTATTCCACTAATAAGCAAATTGTTTTAAGTACCATCAGAGTAAAATTTTAATTAATGTAAATGATTCCATTTAATTGCAGCACTCTAATACCGTAGTTACTAGTACATAGATGTTTAAATATTATTGCTCAATTAACAAAACTCAGCATGGCATATGAAACAAAATAAACTTGGGGCAGAATTTGCAGTTACTTGAAGCCTGACTGACACAAAGAAAGGGCTTCAACAAGTTCACTGAAAACCAATTCTGCTCTTTCCTTAATATGATATGCACTGTGTCCTGGGAAGAGGAGGAATCCCCAAACCTTGATAGATAGTATAGTAACAGTACCGAGTCTTAGTGACCCAAATTGAACCTGAGCACATTTCTCATCTTTAAAAAAAAAAAAAAAAAAAAGCCGTTTGCTCGATTCCGCACATTTAAAAAAAGTCATTTATATGGGCCAGCTCTGGAGTCAGGACTCGTGGTTTAGATCTTATCTATTTATCTGCAAGTGCAACCTTCCTTAAGTCACTTCAGTTCTGAGCATCACTATCGCCCCCTGCCTAGCGGGCAATTCCCACCTCTCGCGGTGAAGTCTGGTGAGGACCTGCCTGAACAAAGACCTCCACCATGCCGGTGCTACCAACCGCTTCACCCAACATTTCCCACCTGACAGCCCCAATGAAGCCCAGGATCCCGGGCTCCGGGGTGACAAGACACCAGTGAGCCCCGGAGATAGCGCCCACACCCCTTCCTTCCCCCAACCACCTGCAAACCACCGGCTCCCAGCGCCTGCGCCTCCCCTGAACCCCGCGGAGGCACTGGGGCTCGGGGCGCTAGAATGCCTGAGGCCTGGAGAGCAAGGCCAGGCTCTATGCACCCTCTCCTCCTGGAAGAAGGCCTACGCCTCACACCACGAGCCCGCACAGCCTCCTGCACCACTGGGGCCCCGCACCCAAGACACTGGCTGCGAATCAAAAGCCTCCGCACTCACACAGCCCTTGGGAACGGTAATGCCTGGAGCTCGATGGTTTACCCCGGGCAACGCTGAACCCTCAGCCAGGCGGTTCCCAGGAACCCCAGACTCTGGGTCTCCAACCGCTCGCCCCCAAGCTTCAGGCCACCCCTCCTGGTGCTCCATCCCTTTGGCTGCAAGGCCCTGCCATCTCGCCTCCCACCCACTCAGGCCTCCAGCCGGCCTCGCTTCCTTCCACAGCCCGGCCTCTGCCG